ATTTGTGGCTTCAGAAAAGGTTGTTTTTGAAATTCATTACTTCAGTAAATCAATGTTTTGGGTGGTATTGGGGTTTGAACTCAGGGCCTCAGAACTTATCAGGCAAATGCCTGTCATTCAAGCCTTGCCTCTAGTCCATTTTTGCTTTTGTTTCTTTCTTTCAGACAGGATCCCTAGATTTTCCCCAGTCAGTCCTAGAACCTTGATTCTCCTACTTCTGCCAGCAATGGAAGATGGCCCTCCATTTTAAACTAGAACGTGGGAGATTCAGAGAAGTCTTCTGTACAGAGTCAGGGCAAGGTCTTCTTGTGTGCTGATGGCCTGTTCTCCCCCCTGCCAGCCTACTTTGCCGTGTGGAGTGTGTGTTTTTGTCAGGTGGTTTATGTTCTGTCTGCTGAAGGGGGCCAGTATGGTAAAAGGATTCCCTTTTTAGTTCTCTTGCAGGTTATGTCAAGGAGAGAGTCTCAGTGTGGTAGTTAGAGGGTCCTAGACACCTGCCTAATACTTTTTCTTTTAACTGAGAGAAATTCCCCCAAGTTTCAGGTTTGGAATTGAAACTGCTAATGCCACAGTTACTTATGGCTATGTCTTTCTTTTAAGTGGATTTATTTAAGTAAGAAAAATGAGCATAAAATCAGTGCCTGGATGTTCTAAAAACCGTGAATATCGTGGTACATACATAGCTGAGAATATCCAACCCAGCACGCTTCAAAATTCAAGGTTTTGAGCAGCCAGTGAATGATTTAAATGCCACTTTCTTAACTGAAGTGCTTTAAACCAACGATGCCAAGACTTAGCTTTCAAAGAGAATGGCACAGCCAGCAGAGACAAATGAGGACTGGAAGACAATGGCTGAAGCCAGGACTACCACCCAGGACGAACCGCACCATTGTCATCATTGTCACCATGTCAGCGGGGCAGCTGTCTGCTGCTCACAGTGGATGTCCTTGAAAGCTCCCATACATCACTGTCCTCGGCCAGAGGAGGCGGTCGGGCCGTAGTGCCTTCTGGAACATCTATTAGAAAGGGAGGGAGCACTATTCTGTGTGGTCACTGCAGATGTCTGGAGCTCTAATGTTCTGTTTTTGGAGCAATGCCTTCACCTGGCTATGTACATGTTGCGAGCCAAAGAGAGCCTGGACAAGCTGCTCCCCACACAGCTTCACCTCCAGCAGGCCCACGTGCGCAGACCCTGGACATCTTGTCCCCCTGACCTTGAGCAGTTGTGCATGTGGGCCCCTTGGCACATCATGGCCCATTGCTAGGAAGACTTACAGGTGAGCCATGGACTGACTGGTCCCCAGAGGTGTGTCTGGGAATGGGCGCCCTGTCATAGGAGCTAAAGGATATGTGGAGAGCTCATCAAGGGCCTCTGATTGGGTCAGGGAACTGAGAAGGTCCACAGGCTGTCCAATGATCTTGAGAGTCATGAAGCTCTCCCATAGCAACCCCTTTTTAATCCTTGTTAAGGGCACCCCAGCTGGTACCCTCTTTTGGGACCCCTCCCCCGTAGCAGGAACTCTGCTTAATTTTTTTCTTCTATACATATCTGCCATTTTACTTCTTCCTTTGTGTCTGTGGACTTGCTCCTTGAGAACATCGGGATAAAGGACCTAATCCAGATGCTGCAGATTTTCAAGATCAGTGTGAGCTGGGTCGTCAGTCATGGTGTCTATCCATCAAAGCCCCGTTTAAAATGAAGTTAAAGCTGGGTGCTGGTGGCTCACACCTGTAATCCTAGCTACTCAGTAGGCTGACATCAGAGAATTGTGGTTCAAAGCCAGCCTGGGCAGGAAAAGTTGGAAGTGGCACTGTGGCTCAAGTGATAAAATGCTAGCTTTGAGCAAAAGAAGTTCAGGCGCGGTGCATAGGCCCTGGGTTCAAGCCCCAGGACTGGTGGGTACATGCACACACACAAACACACAAATATAATGAAGTTGAAAACATAACTGTCTGCCTATAGCAGAACTCCCCTTCATGGTGGTATTTCTGATATCTCTTACTGGGCTGTGCTTGGTTTATTTCCTCAGTGACTTTGGGTTGTTTATCTTCTCTCAATGTCCATGACCTTACGTTCAAAGTGGATGGGAAGTATTAATAACTGAGTGCTGGCGTGCCATCCATGAGACCTGGGCCTAAGAAAACCATGCTTTACATGGCTACTAAAATGAGTCCATAAATAAGATATAATTACTCTTTGGAGATTTTTGTGGCGAAGAGAATCAGCCTGATTCTTACCACCTCTAAAAGCGATTAAAACAATGTAAATTACAACTGTGGGAACCCAGTGATATAAGACATCAACATGGCAGCGACGCTCGGTGGAAGTGTGGAAAAGTGATGTGTCCAGCTGCAGAGGGACTTGGGTGATGGAGGAAGCCCTGTATCCAACACTGGGCCTTGGTCACAGATTCCTAGAACCCTCTTCCTCTGGGTTCCTTATGCCATACCTAACAGTTACTTAGAAGTAGACTTGGCTGGAAAGCACAGACTGGGTCCATGAACGAACTAAAGCAAGAGTGCTTGGCATGTGGGCCTCCACTGAGTATCTGTGTTCTTGCTTTGAATTGGTGCCTTGGCAATTGTTTTGCTATTACCTTTGAATCCATGAAGGCCAGAACTGGTGAATCATCTCTTCATACAGAGGAGAGACCCCCCCCCCCCCCCCCCCCGCCATGGAAGGGAACAGCACAGACTGCACAGGCCAGGCTGCATGCCAGGCCACGGTGACTTGCTTATCTCCACCACACTGGTCTCTACCTGAGATAGCATTACAGAACCCTTCTCTGATGGCCAACCAGATCACACGCTGGCCAGGACTGTTGTGTAGTGACCAACACTTTTCACCTCCTGCTCCAATTATTTTCTTATTTAAACCTACAGCTCATGTCTATATTCTGCTGTTACCAAATCTCCCTTTTCTGCCCTTCCCCATATCTCTTTATGTGGCAGCTGGAGGCATGGCTGGACCTGATAGGAGGAGGCCCAGGAGTTTGAACCTGGGGCCTAAAACTCTGGGCCCAGAAACAGAGCTGTGGCTCAAGTGGTAGAGCATTAGCCTTGAGCAAAAGTGCCCAGGCTGAGTTCAAGCCCCACAACTGACAAAAAAATCTCAAACAATAGTAACAACAAAAAAACAAAAACCCTCTGGTTTTAGCTTTGGCTGCCCATGAGATTCACCTGGTGGAGCTTTAAAAAGTCTCAGTTCCCACCTGAGTGCAATTCAGATACCCTGGATCGTACATTAAAAAGCAAGCAAATAGAAAAAATAAACAAAAACTGTCTGCCTGTCACTGGTGGCTCATACCTGTAATCCTAGCTGCGTGGGAGGCTGAGATATGAGGATTGAGGTTCAAAGGCAGTCTGTGCAAAAAAGTCCCCATGAGACTCTTATCTCTAATAAACTACTCAGAAAAGTTGAAAGTGGCTCTGTGGTTCAAGTGGCAGATGGTAGCCTTGAGCAAAAGAAGCTCAGAGACAGAGCCCAGGCCCCGAGTTTAAGGCCTAGGACTGGCACACACACAAAAAAAGAGCAACTTTGGTGATTCCTGATCTGATCTGATTTGTTGCCTTTGGAAGCTGCAGAAGAAAAGAATATGAATCCAGCAGGTGCGGGCTGGGGAGTTTGGGCAGTGAATGAGTTGTCTTTCTTTGTGGGGTGGGCGGGCCAGGGTTAGAATACCCAGGGTTAGATATACCTAGCACGAACAGCACAAACAAAAAGGATTCAATAATCCCAGCTGCAGTAATCACCATTAGTTATAAATACGTGCTGTGATCTACTTTCTGGAAATCGTTGAATCTTCACATTAATGGCATCCTTTCTTAACAACCAAGGGGGAAAAAAATCCTCGGATTAGGGAAAAGTTGATATGTTTTGGACAGGCTTTCCTAAGGTGATTTCATTTTCACCTGGGCCCATGAGCCTTCTAAGTTTGGGCCCTCCTGCACCCTGTAGCTTGCCTGGAAGCGTCCAGGCTTCTTTTCATTGGGAACCTGTGGCATCTCTCTCTCCTGTTACCACGTCCAAAAGCTGTCCACACGTGGTTAACTATGCCCTTGCAGGGAGGGAGGGCAAAGACACCCGAGCTGAGAACCGTGACCCCAAATCTACCACTCCAGACAAAGGAGAATCGACATTTCAGGCAGGACCAGCAGGGAGGGCGGTCATCACAACACAAAGGATAGACAGATCATCTCAAAAGACAGGTGTCCATGTTGGCTAAGAGAGTGAAAAGACAAGGGACATTCACCAGACCGTCAGGAGGGGCAGAGGTGGCACTGCAGCCTTTGAGACGCTGCTGCTGACCCTGGCAGAACCAGCGATGAACACATCTCCCACTGAACTCCACCAGGGCTTAAGAGCCAGACAGCGGGAGGAAGTTCCTGACTAGCTGGGCCCGGGCCGCACACGGCAGCCAGAAGCTCCACTCCACCTGGGCAAGGACGTGAAGGTTTGCCGAGCTCTGCTCTGCCTTCTTCTATCAGGTAACCGGGAAATTCAAATTCTCTTGGGGGAAAAAAGGAACTGCTCATTCAGGTGAGCCACGCTGCGTGGTTAGAGCCAGCTGCTCACACGTGGGAACAGAGACTGGCCGCGTCATCAGCCCTGCTACCCAAGGGTTGGCGTGCTTAGGCTTATCAGTGATCATTTACACGGAAAGGTGGCATTGTGCCCACTGCAGCCTGGGGACTGGGAGGTGGGATGGGCACTGGTCCTGGGACCGGCTGAAGCACTTCTGGGCTTTTAGATGCATTGCCTGTGGACGTTTAGCATTTTATGCCATCATTAATTCAGGCCTCAAGTGAGCAAGTCTTTCAATAGGACAAAGAAGCGGTATTTTCTGTGCAGACGAAAACCATAGATCCGTAAAACTATTTTCCCTGCGGCGATAACTGGCCCACCCCATGGCGGGCTTCACAGAGGACAGAGCCTCCCGCCACCCCCCTCCCGGCATACCTCTCAGCCATGTCACCAGTGGCAATGCTAAGTCTCTCACCTGGGGCCTCTTGGGGCTTCTGGAAAGGTATGGCAAGGTGTGCAGTTGTCCAGGGCTGATACTGGGGTCTCAGGGGGTGCTGTGGGTAAGGACTGGTACTTCTTTGGGAGAGTGAGGGGAGGCCTGTGGAAAGAGTCCCAGAGGGGCCAGAACAGGTCTTCTACACAGCTGCTCCTCAGAGCCCCAATTTGCCCCCGCCCCCCCCCCCCCCCCGGAAGGGCACTGCTTTGTAGAGCAGGTGACTCCAACCTTAGCATCTTCCTTCCACTCCCTCCCGACTGCCCTCCTGGTCCTGGGTCCTTTCCTCTGGGGTGTGGCACAGTTCTCTACAGGTGTCAATACATCACCTTACCATCACTTTTCACTACAGGTGTCAATATATCACTTTTCAGGACACCACGATTTTAGCTGTAGGAAGCCTGGGAAAATTTCTCCCAGGATGGAAGATCTGAGTTTTGAACACTCCCTAAAGAAACACGAAGCTGTTTGGAAGTCAATGAATGCCTCACTCACCCATTTCCTCCAGCCTTTGGCTCATAAGACAGGAAGGAGATGCAGTTCTGGGCTTGGGATGCTCTCTCCCAGAGGAGCAAGGGCTGAAGGACCACCATGTGTGGTCAGGGCTAAGGAAGAGGGACGGCAGGCTCACAGAGCCACGGAAGAGGCCAGCTCAAGCAGATGTAGCCGCTCGTCTCCATATGTGTCTTGGCATTCATGTATGTCTTGGACATAAATGCATGCACTTACATGAACATGTATTCATGCGTTCTAAGTCCCTTGATTTAATTTTAAGCCAGTTTTTACATTCGGATTCATATATATGGACATATCTCCATCTACAGCCATAGCTATCTATCTCCATCATCTCTATCTCTACCTCTTCCTATGTTTTCCCTATAGCTGTACTTCATGATTGAAACAGAAAAATAATGAAAAAACCCCACATTTAGGTAGAAATGGAGGGGAAGGCATATCAACTAGATGACAGTGGATGGGAGGATGAGCAAGCAGATGAAGGAAGTCTTGTGTTAAGTTTTTCCGATACCACATGTCTTCTTTTCAAGCACGGGCACATCTTATCCAAGCACAATATAAAAAGAAAATACGATGTTGATTGTCTTACCGAGGAGGTGGTAAAGGAATCTGATCAAAGGAAAGAAAATCCAAAATTAAGTATATTTCTCTTTGGGAAGGAGCACCAAGGGTGAATTTTGGTTTACAAATAGAAAAAAAATCTGACTAATTCTTACCTTGTTTCCTTTTGTGGGTCTGTCTCCTAAAACATAAAAGAGAGGTCACCAGTGAATATGGGAAGTGTCATTGGATGTTATTCTTATATAAGGTTCTGTGAAAATGACTTGGGTTTTCACACAGAACCCAGCATGGTCCTACACAGCTGACTTCTGGGGTTTTATTAAACTTCCCCTTCATTGTGCTAATGAAGAACCTGAGATATGGAGAAGTAAGCACTTCACCGACAGGGGCCTAGCTAGTAACTGGAAGAATAAGGAATTCACTGGGGTGGTGTGACTCTCCTAGCCACTGGGCCTTGTTGAGGGTTGATGTTCCTGTATTTAACCATAATAATTAACACTGTCTATGTAATAATTAATGAGGGAAAGAATCGATTAAGACACAATGAGTGAGCTATAGTGACCAGACACTAATTATATTTAATATAATTTAACTTTAGTATTTTGATTTTATATACTTGTCTATAATCAGTCCCATTTTCTGCTTAGCCCCTTATGAAGTTACTTCTAAGCAGGAGAGAAAACAACATCAAAGAATTAAAAAAAATACCAGCACCCAACACCTTTGTTTAACGGATGAGCATGAGCTAAGAAATGGATGATATAGAATGAGTTCTCAGAACCAGCTATCCCTAGAAAAGCCAGAGCGGGAGGCACCACAGATTGCTCTCTCTTCTAGGTAGTTTTATACCCACAATTCAATCCAATTCAAAGGTAAGGATAGAGCTGCTCCTCTGAGCTAAGCTGGGGACCAGGTGCAGAGGCCAGAACGTCCAGTGGGAGAAGGCACCTCACCGAGCTCAGCACTGGTCTGTCCACAGGCTACATTCTAGGTTCTGGGCGCCATGGTAAAGGTGATTGCCACTGCTCCTGACACTGACAGGTGCATACTTGAGCTCATGGACGTGACTGCAAACAGCAGGAAAGCCCTGGGAATGAATCTCAGGTACGGAGGGCCAGGGAGAAGAGCTGAGTTAGGATGGCGTGTCAGAGAAAGCCCCCTGGAGGAGGGCGCAGCGTTGCTCATCTGTAGAGACGGCTGTGGTGAGTTATTCTGTGGGTCTGTGGGAGACATCCCAGGGAGGCTCTGACTCTTGTGACAGGAGTGTGACACCTCACCCGAATCCTGGCCCAGTTTGCTGCACAAGACAGCCAGGCCCTGAGTTCAAATCCTGGTATTAGCACACACGGAAAAGACTCCAAGCAGAGGTAACAGATGTCCCAATGTGATCAAAATCCAAACCATAAATGATCCCAGTGTGCTTTCACACCACTAGTCGCGCTACGGGTACATCTTTGGCCATCTCAAGGACATTACAACAAGCTTAGATTACAGGATGTTGCTTCAGGCACCAAATTAAAAGCCAGACCGTTATTTCCCCCTCATTTGATTGTTTATTTCATCAACTTAAAAGAGCTTCATGGGGAAGATTTCTGATGCCTAACTTGATGACATTCCTTGTGAAATTAGCCTTGGCTCTCCAAGAGCTCTCAAAAAGAAAAAGAAAAAATATCTCATTTCCATTTCCTGGAGTTCATTTCGACCCATATTATTTTATGATCAGAGGCATAGAGATTGCACCTTCGTGTTCCTCCCCTAAGAGTTTTCTCCTGAATAGCTTTTTTTTTTTTTTTTTTTTTTGTGGCTACTACTACATCTATTTCCCCCCTCTCTTTGGAGGAAAAAACCCCCATTCTATAGGGGAGACTGACTCCTGGCAGTTCCACAGGGAACATGGTATTTGTTTATTTTTAGACATACCTCTTCACCTCGCTTTGGTGGCTGTGATTTAGAAAAGCCATCTTTCTCTCTCTTATTCATTGACTTAGCCCTGAGCTCCCAGGCCCCTCCCCGTGGGAAGTCCATTCACTCTTTTCTTTTTTGCCTTCACACAAACTTGCTTTGTCTGTTTACAGCACTCTCCTGCATTTTAATTCTTTAATTGGTGGACTAACAGGCCTGTACATAGATGCTTATACTCCATCATAGGCTGAGAAAGGAGTGAGCAGTATGTACTCAGCAAGAAAGGCGGGAGGGACTTTGTGCACTTCATGGCAAGCAGTGTGTTGAGTAAATGAGTTAAAGCAATTTAAGCCATGGATCTTAAGGCACCCCTGCAGTTACAGTTGTTGCTGTTGATTATTATTATTACTTAATGGAAAATTAGAGGCAATGTATGTTTGCACTCTTAATTAAGTACACAGTCTGAAATGCAATGTTTCCTGTCTGTCCAATGAGAGGACCAAGTGGTTGCTCAGTCTCTTCCGACCATTTCCTGTGGAGGAGACTGGCAGGTGTGCCCTCTGGTGGCCAGAGTCTTCACTGTCGACCTCTCTGGGGAGACGTGGCTTTTGCTTTTCCGTCTTCAGATCTGTCAGGCGGGGAAGTTCAGGGCTTTGGGGTTGTGGATGCCAAAGGTGGGCACAGCATGTCTGCCTGCCTGATGGATCTTGGGTTGACACTGCCCTGCACAATTTGCCAGGGAGAAATGAACTTCGCAATGTTAGGTGAGCAAGCTTCTTGGAGGTAGCCTGTTGGTGACGCGTTGGAGGACCTGGTTGTTAAATACAGCCACCATTGAAGATCAGTAATGTAAATGCACCATTAGCTGAGGATAGCCACCCCTCTGGTATCCATGCTGGGCATTTTGTCTCAAACATTGTTGTACGATGAACTGGCATTTCTTCCCGAGTTCATATTCATGAGCACGTTGCATGCTGAGCGTATGTACACCATGGGAACTGGCAATCTACACATCAGAGTTTTACTTGTTTTGTGGCTTGTCCACACTGAAGACAGTTTTATAAAGAAAATGTTTCTAAGGTCAGTGTGGAAGTGTGTGGCGCCTGAAGCCATTTGGTTTTGAACAATGGGAAAATGGAGAAAGTATGGTTGTGGTTCTGGGATGATTTACTGACCTGTTACTGAGCTCCCAGACTCAGACATGTGCTGCTAGTGTTCGGCTCAGCTCAGAAGTTGTGCTTGTTATTGTATCAACAGATACAAGGATTTGGCAAAAATTCATCAAAAACATTCTGAAAGACTGACTGGCTTGAGCCAAGAGTGGTGTAGTCTCTGCATTTGGAAGACCAAGGCTGGAAGATCACAGTTCAAGGTCAGCCTGGATTATTGTAGCAAGATTCAACCTCAAAAGAAAAAAAATTAATTGGGTTCACTGAATGATGATCAAGGGTATATATCTTCCACAAATTATTATTATTTTTTGATACTGTACTAGGACTTGAACTGAAGGCCTGGGTGCTGTCCTTTAGGTTGTTTTGCTCAAGGATGGCACTCTACCACTTGAGCCATAGCTTGACTTCTGGCTTTTTGCTGGCCAATTGGAGATAAGTCTCATGAACTTTCCTACACAGGCTGGCTTTGAACTCTGATCCTTAGATCTTAGCCTCCTGGGTAGCTAAGATTGCAGCAAGAGCCAACAGAACCTGGTTTCACCATTAATTTAAATTGTGTGCTACATATCCTTTCATAAGCAAAATGTAGAGACTTACATGCATATATATATATATATATATATATATATATATATATATATATATATATATATATATATATAGATATCCAGCTGCTCTATGTTTCTTGCAGTTTGTGATCTACTTCCGTTGCTAAGAATAATGAGCTGGACAACTAAATTTAAGTTGCCTTGCTTCTCTGAGATTTTTGCATTCTCATCTAGACTTCAAAGGGTTGAGAAACAAGATAAGAAGCAAGAATTCATCTTCTGACAGAAGGAGCAGTAATGCACTATGGTAGCGGTAGCAGCTTTGACATCATTTGTGTTGGGTTCTAAGCCCATCTGTGTCACTTCCTGAGTGACCATGGACAAGTTACTTAAATGTTCTTTTTTTTTGGCTGTCCTGGGTCTTGAATTCAGGGCCTGGGCACTGTCCCTGAGTTCTTTTGTTCAAGACTAGCGCTCTACCACTTGGAGCTGCAGTGCCGCTTCCCTGGGTTTCAGTTTCAGTGGCTGTGAGGCCCAGGCAACAGCATCGAGTTCTGTGGATGGTTAGGGGTAAGTAAAATAATATTTAGTTTTCATTTTTGCTTCCAACCAATTTGTGCTAATGTCGGCATTCCCCTTTATCTATGAAATACAATCATGCAAGTCCACAATTTTAGGAGCAGACCATCCGTGTAATGTTCTGTAATTAGAGAAACAGACTTTGGACAAAATTGGATAAGACTTGGCCTCAATCAAAAAATTTATTATGTCTGGGAGTTTTATGATATGCGAAAGTGAACCATTAGGGTTTCGTATCCTGATGATGAATTATGGAAGAGTCCAAAGAAGCAACTTAGAACGCAAGTGACTAATAAAGTATATCTGGCAGGGCCTTCTCGGGGAGCAGCATGCCTATTGAAACCTTTGGAATTCATTGCAGCAGTAAATGACCGAAAACAATTGTTTGGGGTGCAGTAGGGAGGGGGTTACGCCAAGCGAAGCTAAGGATAGGCTACAGCAACTCCTTAAGTAAGGTCTGAGATTCAAGATGGAGCACAATGGCTTTTACAGCTCTCAGGCTGGGGTTGCTGGGGAATGGGGGAAGAGGACACTTCTCTAACCCAACCCGGGGAGGGTGAAGGGATAGGCTAAGGGAAGATGGGTCAGGGGTGTGTGCGTGCGTGTGTGTGTGTGTGTGTGTGTGTGTACGCGTGTGTGTGTGTGTGTGTGTGCATGCTGGAGACCGTGGGGTTCTCTTACATTTCTGAAGACAGGATAGGAAGGCCCAAGGAAGGAAGATAACTCATCTCTATTTAGAATGAACTGGGACAGAAGTCTCCAGACCTCCTGACTTGCGGCTGCCCTGGGCCTTGCCTAAGGGGAGAGTGACAGAGGCCGAAGGCTCCAGGGCTCTGTGACACCAGACACAGAAGCAGTGGCTGGTAGCACGGTATCACCATGGCTCCAGGAGAAGACGAATGTAGCTACCCTGTGGTATTACCGTCACTGTGGACAGTGCTGTGTGTAGAACTGGGATTCAGAAATCGTTAGTAGCTGGGATGGATGGCTTCTGCTTATAAATTCATCAGGTTTATTTTGTGTACTAAAACCCAAACCACACAGATGGGACCAGAGCTGTGGCGGGGTGGGAAGAAGGTCCCAGGGCTGGGAGAAGGGCTGAGCCTGCAGGAGGGGGAAAGAGACGTGAGGGTCTTACTGAGCTCCCCTCCTACTGCACACACACAGGGCGGTAACTGGGTCCTGGCTTTTGGGTTGGTCATCACCTTTCAAACAGACAGATACTTGGTGATGTAGGCAGAAGGAATTTAGAGAAGTGACTTGTGGTTGGTCTCATAGCTTGGAATCAGTAAGGTTGGGACTTGAACCCAGGACTCCTTGTTCCCCAATGTAGCATGGAGGCGATTCCCTCCTTCTGAGCACCGAGGGTGTGGCTTTACTTCCTGGGGGCCTGTGGTCTCAGTACCTCAGTACACTCTGCTCAGTACCCAGGGCAGCGGGCAGCCCTCCTGGAGGGACAATACTTTCCCCAGGTGGAACTTAGTACACCTGATTTTGAGTTCCTCAGTTTGATGATAACCCCTGGTACTCAGGGACCAGGCACAAAGCTGACCCATCACAGGTACCTCTGTCACCAGAGCTATAGGAATATATGCCTCCCCCCCCTTAAGAACTCTGTCTGGTTGGATAAACAGATACATAAAGGGTGCTGACTGGGCTGCAAAGGTGGCTCAGTGGTAGAGCACTTGCCTTGTATGCATGAGGCCCTGGGTTCAATTCCTCAGCACCACATAAGCAAAAAATAAAAGAATAAAAAGCTGGAAGTGGCGCTGTGGCTCAAGTGGTAGAGCGCTAGCCTTGAGCTGAAGAGCTGAGGGACAGCGCCCAGGCCCAGAGTTCAGGGCCCACAACTGGGCCCCCCCAAAAAAAGTGCTTACTGTGGGACTTAGGGTGCATTGAACAATTAAGGAGCCAGCAGGTGCAGGTCATGATGAAGTCAGCATAGTCTCCTCCCAACCCAGAATATTGGATTGGAGACCCCCCCCCCGCATGGGCCCCCATATCCATGGGTGCTCAGTCCCTACTATAAAATATGGCACAAAATTTGCACAGCACCAAGGGCGCCGGCCTGTATGCGGGAGATTTCATCTGGGTGGCGTGTAATACCTCCAGCCGAGGAGATGCTACAGGAATCGTGGCTCTGCTTCATTGTGCAGGGAGGAAGTGGCAGGAAAAAAAGAGTCTGCACAAGGGGACACAGCAGTTTTGCTCCAATATTTCTCCTTGGTGGTTGGTTAAACCTACTGATCTATTTGGGGTGTAGAACCCACAGAGATGGAGGGAGGAGTGTACAGCGACGATTAACAGACCAGTTCCATGTCTATTACTCAGAGTCTCCGTTTTCATGTTGAGATGTAGGAGACAGAATGAGGGCAAATAAGTAGGGAGGGAGGAGAGCAGGCAAGCTTCCCTTCCCCCACCAGTCCTCAGGGGTGGGCGGGGAGGCGGGGAGACCCCACAGATGAAGGGGACGATGGCCCCGGGCTTCTCCATAGGTAGCTTGCTGCAGTTGAGGACTATCTGCCTCAGAAGATGCACACATGTTCTTACTGTCACCACTAAATACCAACCAGGATAGGGAGTGAACCTGCGTGCTCGTCCATGAGTGAGTGAAAATGGGTGTATGTGGACGGTTATAAAGAGGAATGGAATCCTGCCAATTCTAGCAACAGGGATGGAACTGGAGGACCTCACCCGGAAAGACCTGCACTGCACATCCTCTGTTGCAGGTGCAGGCTAAAGATCAAAAGAAGAGGCGGTCTGCCTGTAGAATAGGATTACCAGAGTCTGGGAGGGGGGCAGGGTGGGTGGGAGAGGTTGGATTGGATGACTGCACCGTTGAAGTGTCATTGTAGGGGTTGGTTAAATCTACAGGTGTGGTACCCACAGAGCCAGAGGGGTCCGACTGACTGACTGGCTGTATAGGAAACAGGACCGCTCACACATACAATTAATATACATCAATCCAACAGCAAAGCATATGACCCCGTTCCCTCAGGAAACTACTGGGAAGGGAAATGGATATAAAGCGACAGCAGAAGACACCGTTTGCGTCGCTGGCAGCCATTCTAGAGTCCCAGTACCAGGGCAGAGGAAGAGGGGTGGGGGGGGAGAAGGGAGGGTTCCCAGGTTCCAGCATGTTCTGGAAAAGTATCCAGCAAAGAGGTGCTGACTCTTGTTTAACTCAGTGCTTCCCAAGGTTAACGCATCCTGAGTCCCTTCTGCACAATGTAGATGCCACACGCCAACTGCTGTGGGCTCTGGAGAGCCAGGGCCTGTGGGGAGAGGTCACAGGAAGACAGTGTGTGTGTGTGTGTGTGTGTGTGTGTGTGTGCACGCGCGCGTGTGTGTGTGCGTGTGGTACGTGTGTGTGTGCATGTGTGTGTGTGTGTGCGCGTGTGTGCGTGTGGTACGTGTGTGTGCATGTGTGCGTGTGTGTGTGCACGTGTGCGTGTGTGCACGGGTGTGCGCGCACACATGTGTGTGTGTGCTGACTCGGAAAGCGGCCCTGTGCTCACAGGTGCCCCCCGGTGTTCCCGCAGATGCCTGCTCCTCATCACAATGAGGGGCTGCGTGGTGCGGTCACTGGTGAACAGAGGCACCCTTTCTCCTGCCGGCCTGTGTGTGAGCCTCGCAAGCTTGGAGTCCACACGCAGGCGGACTGGCTTGGCCCGTTGGCCTGGGCCGCCTCTGGAGTTAATTCTCAATGTCCTGAGCCACCCAGTCCAGAGCAAACAGAGCCGATCCAAAGCTACACAGAAAAAAAGTATTTCCATACACACACACATGCACACACACACACACGCACACACATATATCAATTGATAGCTTCATATATATCTATATAGATATAGAAGATTTATGTATACCTCCATATGAATAGCTCTATAATTCATATTTATATATATATCTATTGGTAGATCTATTGATAGATGTATCCATATACCTATATCTATATATGTACATCTATATAGAAGGTCTATATAGATGTATGTATGTATCTGTCTACAGAGATTATTTTGAAATGGTTGTATGGTGATTTTGTCTAGTAGTTCCTGTATTGGATCTTAGGAATTGGAGTGTTCCTTGGGGAAATGTTACTTGGATGTTCTACGGCTTTAATGATTGAAAACCTTGCTTTGAATTCTCCTCCTGTGTGTGACTGTTCTGTTCCTCTGTGGGGAAACACTCGTGGCCCCAGCGATCAGACGCCCTTCCAGTTCTCTGAGTCTTATTTTTTCCTCTGCAGCGCTGAGAAAGATCACTGCTCTGCCGTCTGTTCTCACGGGAGTTTTAATCAAGTTTGCAGCATTCACTCAGATCCCTGCGTAGCAATGCCTGGGTTGCTTTTGAGCCATGAGTTGTGGCTGAAACAAATTGAAACCCCAGGATGACAGGAGATGAATCTTGAATTCATTTCTGATCAACCCTAAGACCCAAGGCTTGCTATTTTTGTTACAGATGCAATTCACAGGCTACCAAAGGCCATCATTGTGATGTGTGTGTTGCCAACTTCTACCACTAGGGGCGGTAGCTCGGGTCTTGGGTGCTAGGCCATTGGTTTAGATGAATGGGAGACAGCAAACCAGAGGAATTAATTTATGGAATTAATTTGCATTTTGGCCAATTCCTTGTGCCCTGGGCACCTCTCTGCAGAGGAGTAAACACACGGTCTGGTTCTTGGCTCCAACTACGTGGTGCTTGACCCTGAGCAAGCCACCTCGCTTGCTAATCCTCACGGAGGGAGTGTGTGCAAGCAGGTGAACTCCAAACTCACCTCTGAATCTCGTTTCTTCAGTAGCTGAAATGACCGAAAAGCAAACCAGGACAAAGGCCTTTTGCGGGCACTGTGTGGAATTCTACTTTGCTTCTTTTCAGCCAAGCTTGTATTTCTGGATATACGTGCTCATTCGCCTACGCATAATTCTCCTTTTTCTTTTCTTGGGTGGTTTATTGTATTTCTGTATAAATTCACAGCTGAATATAGTGTGCTTGTCATTTCAAAGGAAATTGGTTTAGAGTTCTTGCTTGGTTCACATCCAGGGCAAAGAGAAATGCATTTTAGAGACCTTTATTCTCAGCTTTGGTTTTTCTCGGGAGCTAAGCCATGTCACATTTGAAAATTACAGCTCCGCTCTGAAAATGAGATTTCTTCTGAATCTCTGGTTAATGGGAGTAGTTCATCACCACCAACTTCTACTGTAACTATTTGCCTCCAGATAAACTCTCTTTTCTAGGAAAAGAAACATAAGACAAAGCAGAGCAAACACACAAACAACAACAAAACTGGCCAGCCTCCAAGGAGAGAGAAGTCCTTAAAATCTGATGGGCTCCCGATAATGTCAGAATATGATCGCAAGAAAAATCAGACGAAATGCACATTAGCGTAAGTCTATAACTGTTCAAGTTGATGAAAAATGTCACCGTGGAGATCTCCCATCCGAACCAAGCAACACTTTTTCTATGACATTTTGTGAGAATGACTAAATCACCTTTGCATCAACATTTTGCAATAAACACATAAATCACCCAAGGGTTTTCCAGTGAGACACCTGATCCTCAATGTGGAGGTATCTATTTTAACCCTCCGGTTTTTAGCTTCTTCCTCCCTGTTGTGTCTTATGCCAAGCTCACACTGGTCACTTTTGGAACGTAGGAGATGAAGATTAAAGACAGTAACTCGTACAGAAGCTGTCTTCTACCCCGGCTCCCAGCCAGCAATCCTAGACCCCAGTGAGACTCAGCAGGGTCTCTCTGAACTTCCTGACTCTCCTGACACTGGGGTTTGCTTTAAGAAGCAATTATACTTGGTTGCCATACCAACCAACGTCCCCATCCTGGGAGCTATACCCTCATCAAGCTCCCTGACAAGCTGGTTTGCTGGTTACAGCACATAAGGAGTTTGTTTCACTTTTTTGCTTCGACTACCAGGAAGCTCAGTTGAAAAATCAAACTGCTTTTCATGGAAAGTGGCAATTATGTCAAGAGAAGCAAAAATATTACACATTTCACCCAAGAATGAAAATATATCGTGGCGGGTAGCAGAACTCAAAGTCGGGGGCTATGTACCTCAAAGTTGGGGGCTATGTACCATTTTAAAAAATAAAGAAAATTTCTGAACTTCAAAAAATGGAACAAGGGGGTTGCAATGGATCATGTCCGTCTAAGTGTCTAGTGCCTCTTGTTCAAGGTCATTCTTCCCCCATCTTGTCTGCCCTCCAGACTCACCTGACATTCCCACTTCCTTTATGATGTACAGACATGGAGTATTCTGACTCTGTTACTGTCTTACTCTAGCGTCTGAATTTCTTTTTTTTTTTGGGTCCGGTCGTGGGGCCTGAACTCTGGGCCTGGGTGCTGTCCCTCAGCTCTTCAGCTCAAAGCTAGTACTCTACCACTTGAGCCACAGCGCCACTTCCGGCTTTTTTCTTTTTGCTTATGTGGTGCTGAGGAATCGAACCCAGGGCCTCGAGCATGCAAGGCAAGAGCTCTACCACTGAGCCACCTTCCCAGCCCCTACAGTCTGAATTTCTTTTGTGAGAGGGGTTGAGAGGTTCACTCTGCTGAGATTCACTCTGATATATACTAACTACATTTGAGCCAACTTAAATTGTGTAGATGAGCCAATACCTCTGTGTGTGACTGTGTGAAGGGCTGTATATTTTGAGTGGTCACTCTTACGAAGGGCCAGTGAGGGGCAGAGATGGAATGCTATCCTGTGCTGAGCTGGCAGGATGGAGGGAATCAGCTAGAAAACCTCCACGCTGTGCAGTGGAGCAGGGGGAGGAGGGCCTTCCTACACGGCTGTACTACATCCAGCTTAGCAGCTGAAGTGAGCTGTTATCCGACCTTTCCTACTCAGCAGTGTGTGTGTGTAAAAGAGAATATGTGTGTGTGTATGCACGTGTGGCATTTGTGGGTGTGCTGTGCTGGTCCTGGGCCTGGAACTAAGGGCCTGGTCTCTGACCCTGTGCTTTTTTGTTAAGGCTAGCACTCTCCAACTTGAATTGCACCCCACTTCTGTTTTTTTGGTGGTTAACTGGAGATAAGAGCCTCACAGACTGCTGCCTAGGCTGGCTTTCAAACACTACCCTCAGATCTCGGTCTCCTTTAGAAGCTAGGATTAAGGGCATGAGCCACTGGTACCCGGCCCTGCTCAATGTTTGCAAGAGGAAGGAATCACTCAGAAAGGTGTTGTGCCCTGGGCAAGCTGTGCCTGCTCCCAGCTCCTCTCCTGCTCCGTGTACTGTGCTCTCCGCTGCCCCATGTCCCTTATTCACCCCTCCACCCCTTCACCCTGACACCCGTGGTGCCTTGTGACTCGGGTGGGCAGCCCTGCCCTCTCCTTTCTGGTGGGGGAGGTCCAGTGTGGGTCAGAGCAAGGCCGGAGAAGGGCTGGGCACTGAGCTTCAGCCCTGTGGTGTTTGTCTGCCGGAGGCCTGGGCTTGGCCTGCAGCGCTGGTGGGAAGCGGTGGACACCGCAGGAGATGGGACTTGAGGGGAGGAAGTTAGGTTACGGCAGGCGTGTCCTTGACCGGGGAATGGCAGGACATCTTGGCTCTCCTTCCATGGCTCACCCGCTGACCATCGACTGCCCCGGCTGAAACCGGAAGCTAGACAAACCTTTCCTGGCAGCCAGTTGTTTTCCTGGGGTATTTTGTCATCGCGACAAGATGGTGGAGGCGACAGCCCCCTTGTGAGGGGTCAGTGCTGTCCTCCTCCCCTCGGGGGCCTCGGGGTGCTGCCCGCCAGGGCGTCTGCACCCCAGTCCCTGGCCCCTCTCCACCCATCCTGGGCCTCCTCCAACCCCTTGTGAGTCAGCGTCCTTACAGGGAGACGTTAGGGAGAAATCGCATAATCCAGCATCAGAACTTAAAGGGTGAGTCTAGTGTGCTTCCCAATTAGGAGACGTAAAGCACAGGACGGCCATTCCTTCCCCACTGCACACAAGATGCCCAGGGCCCACGCGACAGGGGAGGGGGCTCCGTGGTGGAGAGCCGCCGATGATCGTTCCGTAGCTGTCCCCCATTTGTGCATCTCCTGCCGGTGGAATTGATTTTTTGAGCCTGTACTTCCCTCTTCAAATTCAATATATATATATAGATATAGATATATATTTTGCCTAAAGCTTTCAAACAATTAATTGACATTAAAAACATTAGATTTCTATCTTGTGGGTTTTTTTTTCTAGGTAGATGCTTGGAGAAATAACATAGTTCCATAGTCCATGCAATCTATATCTGTTTGAAATGATTCCCTCCTTAAATTATTCCATAGAGAACATGAGCTGGCCCGATCGATTTCTTCATCAAGAAGGTGAGGCAAGGAGCTTTTTGTCTCTAGAACTAGACTGCTATTTCCAGACGGGGAGCTGAACAGACCGCCGTGGGGAAGATAACCCATGGCCAGAGACAGAGACACAAGGCCGCCATCATGGAAGTGAGCACACCGCTGTCATACTCAGCGTTCAGAGTTTGGGGATGTGACTTTACCTGCAAGGTGTGGGCTTCTGCTGTGCTGGGAGTGGGGTTCGCACGCCTGTAGGAGACAAGATGGCGCCATTAGTTCTTCCATGAGGACGGTGCCACCCCAGAACTCCCCTGGCCACATAGCTAGGGGTGAATGCGTATGGACTCACAGCTCTTAGTGGCTGCCACTGTGAGCTGGTGCTTGGCCAACACGTGCCTATAGGCGCTGCTGCGTCTTGGGTTTATTGGGAATAAAAAGACTTGGGTCTAAAACCCAATCCTCTCTCTTATGGCTGTAAAATTTTGGAGAGAGCACTCAGCATATTAGGAGCCTCATTTGTTTTGGCTGCTGCTGGGGCTTGAACTCACAGTCCGCAGCTCTCACTTAGCTTGTTGTCGCCTGAGGTTGGTGCTCTACCACTTGAGCCACACCTCTACTTCTGTCTCTGGCCTGGTTAGTTGGAGATGAGTTCTTGGCTGCGTATGTTCTGTACTGACTTTGAACCACAATTCTCAGAGCTCAGCCTCCTGAGTAGCTAGAAGGACAGGCATGAGCCACGGGCGCCGGGCCGCAGTTGATCATAGAGAAGTCAGTGTCTAGGCTGTGTCAGCATGGAGATCAGGATGACAGGGGGCGGGAGCTGAGAAGGTCATGGTGGCGATCCTGCCTTGTCACACGCTGGCTCTGGGAGCCCTGGGCCGACTGGGCCTCTGCGTCCTCATCTGTGGGATGGAAGGGGGCTACTCTGCTCCCCCTGAGGAAGGGGACAAGATGGGGTGCTGAGTGCCGGGTACCTACAGCCACTGCGCTGTGGATGGCTGTGCACTGAGAAGACAGGAGGGTGGGGAAGGCAAGGAGCCTTCATCGCTAAGCCGTTCAGCCTGGGTGAGCACTGGGCCTTGGCTCGTGTCCTAGCTGAGGATGGGAAGAGAGGGGGCTTGACCTCTGACCTCAGGGGAAGGCTGAGCCCTCGTATTTACCCCAGAGAGGACATGGAGGAAGAGGGGAGCAGCAGCCCGGGTTGGGGAGGGAGAGGTAGGTAGCCACAAGAACATGGGTGTTGAGATCTCAGCAGCTGCGGGGATTTGGGGCTGGACAGAGGGTGTCCTGTGAGTTCACAGGATGCTGCTCAGCAGCGCCTCCGTCTCCATCCACTAGGTGGCAGTAGCACTGTCCTAGTGCAGCAATGCAAACATTGACCCGGAGGCAAAACCTCTATGGAGAACCACTGATGGCGGGGTGGTGTTACGGGGTGGGAGAGAGGTCTTCGAGTACTTCCTGCAGGTGGGCAGGTGGGCGGTGAGCAGCCTGGTGAACCCTGCCAGGTCCCAGTGATCACATGACAGTACTGTGGCCAGTGCGGGTTGCTGCCTCCTCCGTTGGGCTGTGGGCATTGGACCCCTGCCTCCTCCATTGGGCTGGGCACCGGCTGGCATCTGTATGCCTGTTGTTGAGCACGGTGCTTGGTGTGCAGTAAGTACTTAATAAATATAGCAGTAGTGTAGGGCAAACTTGCAAGCCACGCAAGCAGCCGCGCACGGGCCTTTGAAAAGCTGACTGGAGATCCATTTCACAGATAGTTTAATCTCAGCCGAAATGTGCAGAGCTAATCAAGCCCATGCTGGGAAACGAGACCGCGATGAAGATCATCTGCTGGTCATAAAGACGTGATTCTTCAAACACTGATTATGAAACGTGAAACACGCTCTCCATCTGAATTGAGGCTAAGACCTTGCCTAATATACGAGCCGATGTCCCTCTCAGTCAGAATTTCCCCTCATGTTTCTCCTTCCCTTCCTTTATTTCCTCTCTCAGTAAATCTACTTGGCTAAATGAGATGGGATTGCAATTTTTGCTTGCAAAGTGATCTGTCTGCAGGAGAAATTAGTCATAACAGAAGCTGCAGTGGGAGCTGGAAGGGACATAAAGTACCCAGGAGGGAGGTTCAGATTCTACAGTAGCTGTTTTAAAAAGATCAAATGATTGCTTTTCTAAAATCCTTCTATGCATGAAAGCTCACCTTGGCATACAAGAGGGCTGGTAATCAAGACGTTTTAGGTAAAAGCAAACTCAACCTTTCAAATGAGTATTTTCAGCCTGGGGCTGTCTACAATGGTTATTAGTAATTATAATTGTTATTATTGTGGTAGTACTGGGTCTTGAAACTCAGTGCCTAGGTGTTATACTACCCTTTAGGTTTTTCTTTTTTTTGCTCAAAGCTGGCACTCTACCACTTGATCCACACCTCCCTTCTGGCATTTTGGTGGTTAATTGGAGCTAAGAGTCTCAGAGTCTCATGTGCTCTTCCTGCCCTGGCTGGCTTCGAACCGTGATCCTCCAGATTTCAGCTAGGATTTTCAGTGTGCGCCGCTGGCTTCTGGCCAGGCTGTCCGCGCTCTTCCCAGCAGTGTCCTGGAATGGCCCCACGCTATCATGCAGGCCCCGCCCCAATGGGGCTGCACCAAATGGGAGACCTTCTCCAGGTCAGCCAAGAGGCCAGCAAAGCAGAAGAGCTTCAAGAGACATGGAGCTGTGGGTGGGCTTCTTCCCATGAAAGAGCCCTGCCATCTTCCGGGTGGAGTGAGACAGAGGGCTTGCTCATGGGTGCCCATTTGGTTCCTGTGGGCTTTCATAAAGGTGCGTGCTCTGTTGGGGGCTACAACAGTCCCTGACCTCATGTAGATGCTACCTGTGGACTGCTGTGTGCCTTGCACGGTGTTCTCTGTGCATTACTACAACCGCCTCGAGGCTTCGGAGGTGAAACGGAAACTCAGAGAGGGAAAGCAAATATTCTATGACGAAGAGCAAAGCAGGGTGGGGACATTCGCCCTGAACGTCTCCTTTGAAGAGGAAGTGCGCTTTATTCATTCATTTAGTCCAATCTCTGTCCTTCCGATCCTGCTCTCGTTGGGCGATTGCCGACTTTCCCCAGAATCTGTACATGAGTCTGCTTCTGGCTGGCGCTGAACTTGAAGCGCATGCCTGGAGCGCGTGTGCGAGGAGGCGCTGGGGGTCACGACCCCCGGCTCTCCATCTCCGTTGGAGACACTGTAAATGGCTTTGCAGGCTAGCATTCATCCTTTTGCTTTCTTGCCGGAGAGCGTTTGAATTTTTTGTCTGTCATCCTAGACACTCAGGAGGCTGAGATCTGAGGATCCTGATCTGAAGCCAGCCCAGGAAGGGAAGTCTGTGAGACTCTCATCTCCTCATCTCCAGTTAACCACCAAAAAGCCAGAAGTAGGGCTGTGGCTGGCAGAGCACCTGCCTTGAACTCAAAGCGAAGGGACAGCGCCTGGGCCCTGAGTTCAAGTCCCAGAGCCTGAGTATGCGCATGCCCCCTCCCCTTCCCTCCCCACAACGTATCACACACATAAACTCCATTCTAGCAACAGGTCTATGAGCGGTCCTTCCCGAAGAGTTTCTGGGAGGACAAATTAAAACGGAGAGAGAATTTTACAACACGAACTCTAAAACCTTTCACACACTTTCACCCAATGGTTAAGTAAAAAATAATTAAGCCAGGTGCCAGTGGCTCACGCCTATAATGATAGCTACTCAGGAGGCTGAGATCTGAGGATCAAGGTTCAAAGCCAGCCCGAGCAGGAACGTCTGTGAGACTCTTATCTCCAATAAACTACTAGAAAACTGGAAGTGGTGCTGTGGTTCAAGCAGTAGAGCGCTCACCTTGAGCTGAAGAGCGCAGGGACAGTGCCCAGGCCCAGAGTTCAAGTCCCACAACTGACAAAAAATAAAATTAAAAATTCCGCACCAGGGTGGGGTCTAGCTGCAAGCAGTGGTGCCTGGGAATATCTTGGTTGGTTGCAGGGAGAGTTGTCTGCTACCTGGACCTCGGTGTACAAAGAAAGAGAGGCAGGCGTTCAGAGCATGGATTCTTCTATCTGGGTAGTTCCACTTAGAAAATGCACACGTGGAATTCATCCAAATATTACGATCAATAACCCTGCTGTCCCAGGCACTGTTCATCTTTATTTTATGAATTTCTCACTTAAGTAAATGAAACATATGACAATATTTCATTAAAAAAATCTATGTACATTTTTGTTTACAAGACAATAGACATCTTTTTCTTTTTTCCTTTTTTTTAAAAAATGTGTGTTCTGGGGCTTGAACTCAGGGCCTGGGTGCTGTTCCTGAGTTGCTTTTGCTCAAGGTTAGTGCTCTACCCCTGGCCAGAGCCACAGCTCCACTTCCAGCTTTTTGCTGTTTAATTGGAGAGAAGAGTCTCAGGAACTTTCCTGCCTGAGCTAGCTTTGACTCATGATCCTCAGCTCTCAGCCTCCTGAGTAGCTGGGATTACAGACGGGAGCTACCGTGCCTGGCTTCCTAGTGGATGTTTGTACTCTGCTGGGGAGGATCACACTTCTGGGCCGTAGACCAGGCTGCCCACAGGGTTGTGGGACGTATTTATTACCATGCAGTAAGATGTTGCCGAAGGCTTGGCAAAATCACACGATTTGTTTTTATTTTTTAAATATTTATTTATTTATTTATTGCCGGTCCTGGGGCCTGAACTCTGGGCCTGGGCGCTGTCCCTCAGCTCTTCAGCTCAAGGCTAGCACTCTACTACTTGAGCCACAGTGCCACTTCTGGCTTTTTCTGCTTATGTGGCGCTGAGGTATCGAACCCAGGGCCTCATGCATGCAAGGCAAGCGCTCTACCCATGAGCCACATTCCCAGCCCCTGTTTTTATTTTTTATGTGCTAGTTAGTACTGGGACTTAGACTCAGGACCTGGAGCTCTAATTTAGTCCTTTCACTCAAAGCTGGTGCTCTACTACTTGAGCCACAGCTGCTCCATTTCCACATTTTGCTGTTTCATTGAAGATAATCTCATAGCCCCCTCCCCCCTTTTTCTTCTTTTTTTTGGCTGGGCTGGTTTCAAACTCTGTTCCTCCTATCTCAGCTGCCTGTGTTGGCTAAGGATTACAGGCATGAGCCGCTAGTGCTTGGAGAAATGATGCATCATCATCAGAAAAAGTGGAGTTCAGATTCAGGCTCTGCAGAAGTAGTGGGTTAGATGAGATCTATATGAAAGTCCTTGGCCTGCAGCCTGGCTCACAGTTTCTCATGAGCAAAGGTGTGTGTGCTCTTCCCTTCTAGATTCTTCCACTGGCTAGAACCCTACCAGCCTCCATGAACTGCATGGAGCTTTAGGAGCTGATGGTCTAACACTCCACTGGGGTGGGAGCAGGGCGGCGGTCCTCAGGTGGGGAGCAGCTGCTCACCTCTGAATCTCAGGGCTCTGTTACTCACCTCTTGCTTCATCTGCCTGCTCCGGCCTTGCTGGTCTGGCGGTGACGGGAGGGGGTCGTCCATCACCGCCTTGAAATGGCGTGTGTCTGTGCAAAGAGAATGACATCCAACTCAGCACCCTGAGGTCGGCTGCATCTTCACCCGTTGACAAACCCAGTCTGCAAACCCGCCAGGACACCCAGGCCCAACTGCACTCAGCCGATGAGTGTTGCCATGAAAAACAGCCACAGTTCTGTCCCCGTTCACAGAAACCCAGGCTCTGGTCTGGACTCCTCTCAGTTCCTTCCATCTGAGAAAGTCTACCAACCCTGAAAGCGCGGAGCTAGGCCACACCTGGCCAAAGTTCCCCAGACCCCACTCACCGCCCCCCCGCCCCCTTAGTCCTGCTCTGGACACTCCAATCACACTTCTCTGCCACTAGATCCACACCTGTCTGAAGAAAGTCGGCTTGTCCTGTGTCTCTTGAGCAATTCTAAGACCATGGCTTGTCGATCGGTGCTGATCTACAATCTATGAGTATCTCTGGTGACACAGATATAGTAAATGAACAGAAGATGATCACCATTCTTTACAAGGTGATTTGCTCCAAAGAAAGTGATGTAGAGTTATTTCAGTGGGCTATACTCTCAGAAATCATACATGTGTGTGTATACATGTGTCTGTATATAGGTTTGTATATCTACACACACATGCACACTGTGCATGAATATATGGGTATATACATTCAGGTGTATATGTGTACATCGGCATGCATGCATGTATATGCATGCATATATTTGCATATGCACATGTGCATGGATGTATGCATCTGCATGTGTGCATGCATATCCACATGTTCATGTATATCTGCATATTATAGGTGTATATGCACATGTATATATGCATGAACATGCATGTGCGCATGAATGCATATCCGCATGTATGTGTGTATCTGCATGTGTATATGTGCATATGCACGTGTATATATGTTATATATGCATGTATGTGTATCTGCATGTACATGCATGTGTCTACATGTGTATATATGCATATTTATGTTTATATATATATAACCACATGCATACATATACAACACATCTACACAGTCTGATTAATCCAACCTCCAGAGCCCCTGCTGACAGCCCTGTGGACTCCAGGTAGGAAAAGGCAAAGTTGCATGTGGAACTAAGCCTGCCCACGAGGAATGAGTGGATTCACTGCTGCATCTTACCACAAGTCATAGGCTGTCCACCAGCAATGTGAACATAAGACATAAAAGCCTTCCCACCATGCAACTCTGGGTCACTTCTCAAGTGATGAACACTATCTCCCGGTAGAGAGGGTAAGTACTAGAGACTTTTTCTGGGCCACCTGGCTGGGAAGCGCTGGAGGCAGGATTTCCCCCTGGGATTGTGTATCTCTGAATCATCTCTCTACGTCCTAGCGGCACAGATCAGAAGCACCTCAGGCTCCTGGGCCAGCCGGCTGTGTTACCTGCATACTCAGATTCCTTTAGTGGCCTGGCTGGTAAAATCTTCATGGTCGTCCACGCTTCTGCCAGCTGAAGCTCTGGGTCTTCGTAATTGTCATCAATGGGGTACGCGGCTCTGCTCAGGACTGCAGCCAAGTTCCTTTGCTAAGCATACGGGGCATCGGCGTGAGCGGAAGGAACAGGGTTTGTGGACAAACTGACAGCCCCAGTGGAGCTCAGGGAAGAAACAAAATGCTTCAGTAGCAGATACAGGTCTAGGATCATACCTGGAAGCTTAATTCTTGTGCTAGGCAGAGTTCTACAGATGTCCCGCTAATATTCCAAACCTATTTTAAAATTATTTATTGACTTTTGGTCAGTTGTGGGACTTGAACTCAGGGCCTGGGCACTGTCCCTGAGCTCTTTTGCTAGCGCTCTACTCTACCACTTTGGTCCACAGCACCACTTCCCGTTTTCTAGTGGTTAATTGGGGATAAAAGTCTCCTAGGGACTTTTCTGCCTGGGTTGGCTTCTAACTGTGATCCTCAGATCTCAGCCTCCTCCTGACTAGCTAGGATTACAGGCGTGAGCCACCAGCACTAGGCTTCCAAACCTATTTGGGAATTAGTCACCCACCCTGACATGCTCATGCATGCACATGCCCAAGAGTCAAGGAAATACAGATTATAGCATAACTCTGGCAACTAGAAGTCAGCAGACACTGTATGTAAAATCGGAGCAAACTATCTGGTGGAAAGCACTCAGTAAAGATCACCCAGACAGCTGCTGTTTTGCTTAGCACCACCAGAGGGAGCCAGAGATCAACAGACTCCCAATGTCCTCTCAGGCCTCCCTTCCACGACCCCCTTAACCTTTGCTCCATGCCTAATAGGTGCTGGTGCTTTGTTCACTTTATTTCACAGCACATGCAGAAACCTCTAAGGGGTGTCTTGATTACCGTGGGAGGAACTGGGATTAGCAAGATTGAGTGTAGGGTCTCACTTTGCATTGCCTTAGTTCCCTAACAAAGTACTTGGGGGGGGGGGGGTTCGCTCCCCAGCCCCAGATCTCAGCAGTTGTTATGGGTAATAGTAATGATGCCTCACTTCCAGGAAGCCTTCTCCCAGTTGTACTGCGCAGGCCCCTCTGTGCAGGCATTTGGGGGCTCTGCTGGCTCAGAGCACTGCTGCAGGTAGGAAGCTGTGGTCTATGGGCAGCCCAGAAGGGGCCTGGCACCGAGGAAGGTGGGCCTCACAGGAAGTCAGGGCCTGGCACCGGGGAAGGTGGGCCTCACAGGAAGTCAGGGCCTGGCACCAAGGAAGGTGGGCCTCACAGGAAGTCAGAGCCTGGCACCGGGGAAGGTGGGCCTCCCAGGAAGTCAGGAGTCGGGCAAGTTATCCAAAGGGAAGTTTAACAGAGGATAGGCCGTGCTTGTCCTGGGAATAGGAGCAGGAGGGGGGAGAAGAGGCTAAGACACCAGGCACAAGGTTGGAGGAACGCCAACGCCCAACTGACCCTGCTCAAGACTTCTCCCCGGATTACAGACGGGTGCCACCAGGCATAGCAGGGAAGGTGGAATTAAAATGGTAAATTATTATTACCTCAAATAACCATACACCAGTAATTTTACAGGCAGATCTATCTATCTATCATCTATCTATCTATCATCTATCTATCTATCTATCATCTGTCTATCTATCTATCATCTATCTATCATCTATCTATCTATCTATCTATCTATCTATCATCTATCTATCTATCTATCTATCTATCTATCTATCTATCTATCTATCTATCATCTATCATCTATCTATCTATCTATCATCTGTCTATCTATCATCTATCTATCTATCATCTATCTATCTATCTATCATCTATCTATCTATCATCTATCTATCTATCATCTATCTATCTATCATCTATCTATCTATCTATCTATCATCTATCTATCTATCTATCATCTATCTATCTATCTATCATCTATCTATCTATCTATCTATCTATCTATCATCTATCTATCTATCGTCTATCATCTATCTATCTATGTATCCATCCGTGGATCTATCCATCCATCTCTCGGTCTGTCGTCTTATCTATTCTACCATCTATCTTATCTAATCTATCATTATCATCTCTCTATAAGCCATTTAATGTATCTGCATATATTGCTTCCCAATATAACCACTTACAATGTTAGATATTTGAGCCAATGCTATCCATTGTAAGTTTTAGTTGTCAACATTCTTTACAAATATTTCGAGTGGTTTCAAAAGATGTCTCTATCACAACATATAGGACCATTTCTATACTGACTATCTAGCACGATTCCAATCTGCTGCCATTAAAACAGATGATGAGAAGGTGATGGGGGATTCCTGCTGTTTAGGTGAGTGTCTAGTGTAAGCTCTCCCATGGATTATGGGGCCAACAGGAAGGAGATAGTTAATAGAGTCTAGTTACTATTATAAAACTGCTGTCTGGAAAGCTGGTTCAGCGCACAGCCTCCCCCTGGGTGCTGGGCGCTGTGTTTCTCGTTGCACACTGGCAGGGCTGGCACCCTCTGCATCTGCAGCCTTCACGTGCCCACGCGCACTGACCTGCATCTCCTCTCCATAGCTGGCATCGTGGGGTACAGCTTTAAACCCACGAATTGAAAAGCAGTCTTCCTGGCCAGGAAAGCATGACAGGTGGAAGTTCTCTTTCTTTTCAGTGCAGAGGTGACTTGGAGAAAACCACTTACTTTGCAGGAAGCGGAGGAGTTTGCGCTGGGGAGGGGGCGTGGGTGGCTGCGGGCCGCTGGGGGCTCCTTGAGGCTGTGGCACTGGCCTGCCAACCAGAGGTGAGTGTCACCACCATGCCGGTCACCGCCAAGCCCTGGGCCCTCCTTCCCCACAGGCGTCCCTCCCCAGCTTCCTCCCCCTCCTCCTCCCTCTCCTCCTCCTCCCTCTTCTCTCCTCCTCCTCCTCCTCCCTCTCCTCCCCCTCCTCCTCCCTCTCCTCTCCTCCCCCTCCTCCTTCCCCTGTCCTTTCCCCTTCTCCCCTCTCTTCCCCTCCCCTTCCTCCTTCCCCTCTCCTCCCCCTCCTCCTCCTTCCCCTCTCCTCCCCCTCCTCCCCTCTCCTCTCCATCTTCCCCTCCTCTCTCCCTCCTCCCCTTCCTTCCCTGCCTCCTCTCCCTTCCCCCCTCCTCTTCATTCTCTTCTCCCCTCCTCCTCCTCCCCTCTCCTCTCCACCCTCCTCCCCCTTCCTCCCCCCTCCTCCTTTTTCTCTGTCACTTTAAAAAACAAATGCAAAATGGTTTGTGTTGGTAGGAATAGGAGCTCAAACACACAGGGTCTCATTTTAAGGCTGTTCCATATCTTGCTGCAGACGCATTATTTCTGTGGACTTGAGTCTTTTCACCCTGAACTCCCAAACCATAGCAGAGTAGGGAATGAAGGGGGGGTGTGCCTGGGCGTCCCCCTTTTCTGCGGGGGTCCCTGATGTGGGAGGGGCTTGGTGGAAATGCAGCTCTCGGGGATGTGTCTAGGACTTGCACGTGGAGGCAGCGGCTGTAGGGACCTCCTTGTGTCCCAGCCCTGGGGTCTGCCACCCACCTTCCTGACCCATCCAGCTCCGTCCACTCCATCTCAGATCCCCGGCAGATAAACCACGTCCGTCCACCTGGCAGAGTGGACGCAAGAGGAGTCGGGGATGGTCTTGGAGGTCTTCCAGGAAACAGAGCTGCCCGTGTTCCTTCGGCTCTTTGCTTCTGCGTTTGCCTTCTACTAGGAAAGATACTGAAACTAGTTGTCATGGTTAAGCTCTCCTGAGGTTTTGAGTCTTTAATGCTTTGTTCTCCTGGGGAGGGCCAGCTTTGGACTTTTCTATTTAGCAATGCAGAACTGCTACTCAAGGATAGAAGGAAGACAATGTCTATATTTCATGGGAGGTTCTAGGTCCAAATCCTGGCCCATGACTTTCTGGCAATGTGGCCGCATGCAAGACTCAGGACTTGCGAGACTTGGGTGCCGAACGTTGCCCTGTCGAATGGTGGGGTTTCCCTGTCTGCTCCCCACATCGCTATGACTGGTCCAGGCGCATGTGGTCTGGGTGGGATGTCCACTCGCAGTTTTCAGACTCTGTTTGCCCTGAAGTTTCAGTGCCCAGGAGTGAGATGTTTTGTTTGAAGTTCAACCTCAGGACCAAAGCTTCCCCCTCCCCCTCCCCCTCGGCCCCAAGCCCTTCAGCAGGGCTTTCGGCTCTTCGGGAGGAATTATTCTCCCCTCAGTGCTCATCGGAAGCAAGTTGTGCATCTCTTTTTCCCAGTTCTGCTTCACGGACACCCATGAGCTCATCCCTTGCAGGGGTCTTCAAACAGTCCTCCAGCCATTACTCTAGGCATCCAGGGGCCACAGCGTCTACAGACTCCTCATTTGAAAGTGAAAGATCAAGGTGAAAGGTGCTGGGCACACAAGCCTACCTGTACTGCCCGGATTTAAGTTCTCAGGTATAAACTCCTTCCTGACTTCGCTGGCTCAGGGTATCTAACTTAAAGTCAGTGTAGTGAATCAGTGCCCAACCTCCCTACGGCTAAGTTAGACAAGATTATTAAATGCCTGGCACATTCTAGACGCCCAGTATATATTGGTTTCTTTCACATGTGTGTCTATGTATGAAGAGAGGGAATGAGAGAGAATGTGTGTGTGTGTGTGTGTGTGTGTGTGTGTGTGAGAGAGAGAGAGAGAGAGAGGGGGGGGGGGGAGAGAGAGGGAGAGGGAGAGAGATGGAGGAGTGAGAGTCAAAATGAAACAGACTGACTCAGTCATTTAGTTTTCTGGGCATTCCAAGTTATTTGATCAACTATCACTTTGAGATTATGAGCTGACCATTTCAAGCCCTAAGTAAGCACAAAAGGAATGTGAATTATTAGCTGGAAGAGCAGCCTCAATGTTCTCAGAAGCTGTTCCTTGGAAATCTACCTCCTTCTCTACTTCTTGATTTCCTCATCTGCAAAGTATGAGATTATGAACATCAGGCCAGCAGAGGAGTCCTAGAGATATTACAGTTTCATTTTTCATTTCAAAGACATCTGTGCCCAACACTTGATATATCTGTCATTTCCTGGACCTGCCACAGATTGCTTGAATGCACAGATGAATGAGTGAGCATACAGTGATGGATGAGACTGGCCCCTCCCATTTTCCTGGTGCTTTTCAGAAACTCAGGTGGGAGAAACTGACCCTGTGGTCTAGATCATGGCTGGTAGCTTTGTAGTGGGGACAGTTTTGAGAGTCTCCCTCCCTCCCTCCCTCCCTTCCTTCCTTCCTTCCTCCCTCCCTTCTTTCCTTCCCTCTTTCTCTCTCTTTCTTTCTCTTTCTTTGCCTATGCTGGTCCCAGGGCATGAACTCAGGGCCTGGGTGCTGTTCCAGTACTCAAGGCTAGTGTTCTACCACTTAAGCCACACCTCCACTTTCAGCTTTTTTGGTGGTTAATTGGAGTTAGGAGTCTCACAGAATTTCTAGCTTTGAACCATGATCCTCAGATCTTAGTCTCCTGAGTAGCTAGGATTAAAAGCATGAGCTGCTGACTCCTGGCTCTTCTTCCTTAACCTCAGCCAGTGATTCTTGAAAGAACATCCTAAAACTTCCCTGAACTGGAATTACCTTGTAGATGTCTCCCATGGCTTCACCCTAGGTCTGCCAAAGTGTAAACCCTGGGTGGGCTTTAGAACATCTATATCTATATCTATATATCTAGAGAGAGTCTATTGTCCATTGAACTTTGAAGACAGCTGTTAGTCAGAAGACTTGAAGCCCTGCTTGGTGCTTACAAGAATTTGGTGAGCACCTTGCCAGTTCTGCTGTTGGGTTCTCTGATTCTGTCCACCAAACTTTCTAGAACCTGGTTGACTCCAGCTTTGTCTCAATTAGTACGGGCCTTGCAATATCTTAAAAAGGTCAGCAGGGGGCACCAGATACACACAATCCTGTGCCTGCCTTTCCTCTAGTCCTAAAAAAAAAAAAAATCCTTATTAATTTTTCTTTTAAAAGTGGGGAAAATCAACCTTTAAGACTTCTTTCCATAGAAAATTGGAAAGAAAAGTCAAATGTTTCTGGACAAAATGAAATTTTGCGTCTACTTAATCGAATCAGCCAATATCTATCTTTATGCGAGATTTATTGCATACGATGCTTAAGGCAGAAGAACCCAGTTTCTAAATAAGGTGATGTTCTCCAATTTCATTTTTTTATACAGTGGAAGGAGAAAAAAATTCATGAGTTTATTTATGGAAAAATACAGCATTGTTCTCTGTATATAAGCTTCTGAGAAGGCAGGGCATTGACTGATTGTCTACATTGTAGTGTGTATCTGCTTTTCCCAGGCCTGGAGGATTTTTTTTTTTAAAGAAGTTATTTAATTTTTTTTCTTACAGTATAAAAATGTATATTACTGTGCAAAAGTTATAAGGCATAGATGTGCAAAGTAGAAAAGAGAGACTAGAAATCCCTACCATGTCATCAGATCATGACATTGTTGTACAATTGGGTTATAGCTGATTTGCTCCCACATCACACCGCATGTGCTGTGTGTATTTATTTGCTCATAGTGCATTTTTTCACATCGATGTGCCCACTGTATTTTCAATCAGTCCCATGGCTCTCAGATCTCTGGGAAGTGAAGACCCTTCTTGGAAGTTAGTCCTCAGACACATTCTTAGTTAAGATCTGTTATATTTGCATAGACCTTACATATGCTTGGACTGAGCATTGTGCGTGGGTAGGTGCATGTATGTGGAATAGACTTGGGAAGCTTTATCTCAGTTGTCTTTTGGTGGGGGTGGATTTGTATTTCTTTTCCTTTTTTTGAGGGGGGTGTCATTCATGGGTCTTGAACTCTGGGCCTGGGCTCTGTTCCTCAGCTCTTCAGCTCAAGGTGAGCACTCTACCACTTGAGCCACAGTGCCACTTCTGGTTTTCTGGTAGTTCACTGGAGATCAGAATCTCATAGGCTTTCCTTCCCCCAGCTGGCTTTGAATCGTGGTTCTCAGATCTCAGCCTCCCGAGTAGCTAGGATTATAGATATGAGCCGCTGGTGCCCAGCTTCTTTTCCTTTTATTTTCATGTGTGTTTCTATATTGTTACTCATGAAATGGAAAAACCAACCTCTCAGTTTTCTTCTAATTCACCAAGGAGGAAATAAGATTGATGAGAAACTGGCACAGGTAGGTTCTACTGGCTGCTCTATTTTACATAGTTTTGAAGTCACCAGGCAATGTGCCACATAAACATATTTATTCCTAGGCACTATAAATACACTGGAGGGAACAGCCACGTGTAGCTAGTGCCCCGTAGAATAGGCCACTAGATTTTTTTTTTAAATTCTGGTCCTGGGATTTGAACTCAGGGCCTGAGATTTTTTTTTTTTGCTCAAGGCCAATACTCTACCATTGGAGCTCAACTTCCAGCTTTTTATCTGGTCAATTGGAGAGCAGAATCTTAGGGATTTTCCTGCCTAGGTTGGCTTCAAATCATGATCCTCAGATTTCAGCTTCCTGTGAACTGAGATTACAGGTGTGAGCCACTGGCGCCTAGCTGCTAGAGTGATCAAAAGCAGCACAGCTATCAAGAGACAGCATCTCCTTTCCTTACCCTTGACTCCCCCAGGCAGATGTTAGCCGTGTTTGTAGTGTGCCCAGTGTGTTCTGGGAGTTACGATGCTAGGTGGTCAGGAGCATGTACTCCTTGGCCACTGGGCATGAGTGTTCTGACGTGTTCTCTTGGGATGCTCCCTCTGAAAGCCTGTCACCAGGCTGTCACAAGCCTGGCTGAGTCACCAGGTCCAGGCTTGGAACTCTCAGGGTGTCCGTCCTGGAGGAGCCCCTAGCTGGTTGAATCTTCAGAAAGGAGGCCCAGCCTTTGCGGAGTCTGCAAGGACAGCCTCTGCCCTGTTCCCCGCCCAAAGGCCTGAACTGCAGCCCTGTGAGCAGCACAACAGACCCATGAGGGTCCCGACAGAGGGCGCCCCACTCACCTTTGGCAGCGCTGAGACGAGGCCATGACCTAGGGCAGAAGAAAGAAGCAATGAACGTCAGCCGCAAAACCTGCCTACTCCCCCCAAGCGAGCAAGCTCTTCCTAGACGCCATTGCACCACCCCCAGTGAAACTTCTGTGTTCCTATTACTGTAGACTCCGAGTAACATACTGTTAGGATATAAGAGAGAGAAAAAGGTCTGTAGAAGACAAAAAAAAACCCAACAAGACCACCTTCTACAAAGAATTCTCATACACCCACACGTGCGTATGTGTGTAAATGAAGACGTAGGTGCGTGCACACACACCTGTGCCCACATAGCTCAAGAGAACGGACAAGATCCTGAAGTTACAAATACATTCTGCACCCGTCAATGTTATTCCAAAATCCGGTGCTCACTGGCTGTGTGATGTTTGGGAGTGAGATTTAGATTTTGGTGAGTTCTAATTATTGTAAAAAAAAAAAAATACATGGTGAGGGACCCGTGGTCTCCATTTCTAAGCTCAGGGCTGGTTGCAGGGGTAGATGGTAGCCCAGTGTAGATAAGGGCCAAATGGCGCAGGCCTGCTAGGCCCTTGCTAGCTGCTCCCCATGGCTTTCTACATGGCTTGTAGAAATTCATAGTCACTTTTTTTTGTTGGTCCTGTGGCTTGAACTCTAGGCCTGGGCACTGTCCCTCAGCTCTTCAGCTCAAGGCTAGCACTCTACCACTTGAGCCACAGTGCCACTTCCGGCTTTTTCTGCTTATGGGGTGCTGAGGAATCGAACCCAGGGCCTCATGCACGTGAGGCAAGCACTCTACCACTGAGCCACCTTCCCAGCCCTCAGATTCACTTTTGTTCTTTTTTTTGGTTGGTCGTGGGGCTTGAACTCTGGGCTTGGGTGCTGTCCCTGCGCTCTTCAGCTCAAGGCAAGCGCTGTACCACTTGAGCCACAGCACCACTTTGGGTTTTCTAGTGGTTTATTGGAGAGAAGAGTCTCATGGACTTTCCTGCCCAGGCTGGCTTTGAACCGCGATCCTCAGATCTCAGCCTCCTGAGTAAGCTAGGATTACAGGCGTGAGCCACCGGCGCCCAGCTTCACTTTTGTTCTTACGTATAGAGTAGGAGTGATCACATTCTCTGCACCAGGAAATCCCAACTGCAACCCAGCTTTACCTCCATGGAACTTGAAACCCTTGTTCTCCTTGTTCTACTTTCTAGAAGACTAGGTGAATCTAAATTATTTGTTCTTTTTTTTTTATCCCCCCAAATGTTTTGGGACCATTTTTTCCCCCCATTACTTCTTTGGACATTACCTGCATGAGCATCTGTTTTCCATCAAGGTCAGTGTGAACTCACAACCATCACCCTCAGACAGTGTGCTTTTGGGATTAGCTTTTCCTTAGATTCAGGCGCCCATTCCGTGAGCTAAGTTGTTTGTGCCTTTAACAACCCCTGGTCCTCACAGCATACCTTTCCTTTGAGGCTCTCTAAGTGCGTCACAAGAACAATTAACCGAGCATCGCAACCCAGGCCGGGTGTAAATATTTATGAGTCCTGTGTGGTGGCTGGGGCCTTGGGTGCTGGATAGTTGAGTTAGTAACCAGGCGACCCCAGTGCGCAAGTCCAGCCCGCCCTGTTGATTTCCCTTCACCGGTCTCAGCTGCCAAGTGAGCTTGAGGGAGAGCTGTGATGCTTCTAACTGTACAGAAGAGGAAACCGAGCAATTCCCCAATCAGCAAAGCCACAGAGGGAGAATAGGGAGAAGGAGGGATTTGCCACCCCTGTCCCCTCCCCCTCCCTGGTACGGCCTCCTGCTGCTCTGTGCCTCTGGGAGGAGGTGGCCCCCCCCCCCAGGATCGGAGCAGCTGTGCCTGGGAGCCTGCCTGTGGTTGGCGGTTGGCACCCGCTCAAGTTGCCTGAGATGCAGCAGAAATTAACAGTAAATCAACCAGTAAGGAGAACATGATTTATCTGGGGCCTGAGCTTTCTCTCTTGACACTCTTTAAGCATATGGTCTCTTCCCTGACATCCTGGCCTTTGATTAAGGCCTCAAAAGGCTCCGCAGATATTCTAGAGCCAACTGGAAGGTGGAAATAATACGTTTGTGTGACTGTGTGCGGTGAGCTTACTGTAAGCGTAGCAAGACCCCCGTGCTGGAGGACAGATGCCAACACAGGCAGCTTGTGAGGGAGAGTTCAGGGACAGTGAATGCAAGACCAATGCGTCTTCAGAGATTCTCGAAACAGTTTGGACTCCTTCACGGACTCCCTCTGACCTTGGCTTCAGCTGGACATCTGAATCAAAAGCCTACTGGCTAGCCTGTGGTTTATAGAACGTGGAGGGCGGGGGGATGGACTAGGGGCCTTCGCATGGCTGTGATGTTCTTTGACTTCTCATACCCTTGGGGACAGAGCTGAGCTCCTGTGATAGTTTTTTTTTTTTTTGGTCGGTTGTGGGGCTTGAACTCTGGGCCTGGACACTGTCCCTCAGCTCTTCAGCTCAAGGCTAGCGCTCTACCACTTAAGCCACAGCGCCACTTCCGGCTTTTTTCTGCTTACCTGGTGCTGAGGAATCAAACCCAAGGCCTCATGCATGCAAGGCAAGCGCTCTACCACTGAGCCACCTTCCCAGCCCAAGTGGAAGCATCTTTTAAAAAGCTGCCGAGCATCTGCCTGGCATCGTCCCTGCCCCACCCCTAAGCGGGAAGCATTTTTTTTTTTCTTTCATTGTTGTTGTTGGAGTTTGACTCATGGACATTTATTTTTATAATATGTGTTTTTCAAATCAAGTTGACTGTATTTAAAAAATGTTTCATTTCTGGGCTGGGAAGGTGGCTCAAGTGGTAGAATGCTTGCCCTGAGCTGAAGAGCTGAGGGACAGCGCCCAGGCCCAGAGTTCAGGCCCCACGACCAGACCCCCCCCCCAATAAAAGTTTCATTTCTGACGTGGGAACAAGGCATGCCTAGAGCTCGCGATGAGTTTAGAGATTATTCTACACCTGAGAGTAGATCCATCTTGCCTACGACTACTTTACAATGCACGGACAGCAATCAGTTCAGGGGTGGAATGGAAGGGTGGGTGCTAAGGGCTGGGGAGAGGGCAGAGGAATAGGGGAGCCCGAGAGTCCAGAATTTGGGGGAGACAAGCCAGAGAGGCCGTGGGGCTGTGGTGGGCAGCCTACACGGTCCTGCGGCCAGCGAAGCTGTGCTCCGTTTAGACAGTTGCTAAGAGGGCAGATCGGACGTGGAGAATAGTAGGAACAGTGACAGCAGTGTGCTAATAAACAGCCGTCACAGCAACCGCTGGGGGGGGGTGAAGCCGGGCGGACCGGAAGGGAGCTCTGCTCGGTAGATGCGCCGAGGGGTGCTGGGAGGGTGCGCAGTGCGCAGGCGCGGTGCAGCTGGCCCCCCCACGGCCGAGGCTGGCCTCAGGTGGCTCACGTGATGTCTCCACGGCACCCCTCCCCCCTCGACGTCATACGTCATAGCCCCCGGGAAGGAGGCACCGGGCGCTCTCCGTCCGTCCGTCCGTCCGTCCATCAGTGCAGGGCCAAGCCAATGAGCAAAGCATCAGTCAGCAAACCAGGCCTGGCACGGGGCTGGGCTGGGATTCCAGCGGCTCCCTGCGGGGGACGGGGCCAGGGAGGAGGGCGGACGGCGCCATCGCGGTGTGGACGTCGGGTGGACACCAGCCCCCGGGCGTGCCCCGGGCGGCCAGTGAGTGTGAGTGAGTGTGCGCCGCTCCAGGCTGGCCCTCCGCCTCCCGCCCTCCACCCCCACCCCAGCCCAGCCCAGCCCAGCCCAGCCCAGCCCAGCCCAGCCCACCCCACCCCACCCCACCCCACCCCACCGCAGCCCAGCCCAGCCCACCCCACCCCACCCCACCCCACCCCACCCCACCCCACCCCACCCCACCGCAGCCCAGCCCAGCCCAGCCCACCCCACCCCACCCCACCCCACCCCAGCCCACCGCAGCCCAGCCCAGCCCACACCACCCCACCCCACCCCAGCCCACCCCAGCCCAGCCCAGCCCACCCCACCCCACCCCACCCCACCCCACCGCAGCCCAGCCCAGCCCACCCCACCCCACCCCACCCCACCCCACCCCAGCCCACCGCAGCCCAGCCCACCCCACCCCACCCCACCCCACCCCAGCCCACCGCAGCCCAGCCCAGCCCACCCCACCCCACCCCACCCCACCCCAGCCCACCGCAGCCCAGCCCACCCCACCCCACCCCACCCCACCCCAGCCCACCGCAGCCCAGCTCAGCCCAGCCCACCCCACCCCACCCCACCCCACCCCACCCCACCCCACCGCAGCCCAGCCCAGCCCACACCACCCCACCCCACCCCAGCCCACCCCAGCCCAGCCCAGCCCAGCCCACCCCACCCCACCCCACCCCACCCCACCGCAGCCCAGCCCAGCCCACCCCACCCCACCCCACCCCACCCCACCCCAGCCCACCGCAGCCCAGCCCAGCCCACCCCACCCCACCCCACCCCACCCCAGCCCACCGCAGCCCAGCTCAGCCCAGCCCAGCCCACCCCACCCCACCCCACCCCACCGCAGCCCAGCCCAGCCCACCCCACCCCACCCCACCCCACCGCAGCCCAGCCCACCCCACCCCACCCCAGCCCACCCCACCCCACCCCAGCCCAGCCCAGCCCACCCACCCCACCCCACCCCAGCCCACCGCAGCCCAGCTCAGCCCAGCCCACCCCACCCCACCCCACCCCACCCCACCCCACCGCAGCCCAGCCCAGCCCACCCCACCCCACCCCACCCCACCCCACCCCAGCCCACCCCAGCCCAGCCCAGCCCACCCCAGCCCACCCACCCCAGCCCACCCTACCCCAGCCCACCCCAGCCCACCCTACCCCACCCCACCCCACCCCAGCCCACCGCAGCCCAGCCCAGCCCACCCCACCCCAGCCCACCCCAGCCCACCCACCCCAGCCCACCCCAGCCCACCCCAGCCCACCGCAGCCCAGCCCAGCCCACCCCACCCCAGCCCACCCCACCCCAGCCCACCCCAGCCCACCCCA